GAATCTCGGAATCTCACAATTTTCAGAATTTCAGAATTTCAGAATTTCAGGATTTCAGAATTTCAGAATTTCAGAATTTCAGAATTTCAGAATTTCAGAAATTCGTAATTCGGTATTTTCGAAATTTCAGAATTTCAGAATTTCATAGTTCAAGATTTTTAGAATTTCAGTTTTTCTGAACTCTAAAGTCCGAAATTCAGAATTTTGTAATTCCGTATTTTTGTAATTTCAGAATCTCTGAATCTCTGAATCTCTGAATCTCTGAATCTCTGAATCTCTGAATCTCTGAATCTCTGAATCTCTGAATCTCTGAATTTCTGAATCTCGGAATCTCACAATTTTCAGAATTTCAGAATTTCAGAATTTCAGAATTTCAGAATTTCAGAATTTCAGAATTTCAGAATTTCAGAATTTCAGAATTTCATAGTTCAAGATTTTTAGAATTTCAGTTTTTCTGAACTCTAAAGTCTGAAATTCAGGATTTTGTAATTCCGTATTTTTGTAATTTCAGAATCTCTGAATCTCTGAATCTCTGAATCTCTGATTCTCTGAATCTCTGAATCTCTGAATCTCTGTCTATCTGATTCTCAGTATCTCAGAATCTAGGAATTTTTGAGTTTAGGAATCTCACTATTGTCAGTATTTCAGTCTTTCAGAATTTCAGAAATCCGGAATTTCAGAATTTCCGGATGTCCGGATCTGAAAATATCTTTCCGACCCGGCCCTGACCGGTCGGGTCACCATGGCCGGGCCGGGCCGGGTCACCGGGTCGGCCCGGAATTTGACAAGTATGGGTAAAAGAAATATCCTACCTATTCCAGAAGTACCCCCTAATCGAAATGCTGGCCGTGGCACAGTCTTGGTTATAATATAGTCTGATTGAGTGGTTGTTTCAAAAGATAAGAATTGACCGATGGCCGAAACTTGATGTTTTGTTATCACAACGGGAATTTTTTATGGTTTCAATAAAACAAATCACAAGAAATGTTATCGTTGAACATTCAAACAAACAAAACCATTATACATGGAGTATCAGTCCTTGATCATTTTTTCAGGTGAATAGGAGCATTGAAACAACAAAAAAAACCTGAAATTTCAATATCTAGGAGTTAACATTTATAAAAACTTCATTCAAAGAGAAAATATTATTCCAAAACATTCAAACGATCATTTCTCAATCTTCTTCACCTTCATCTTCATCTTCATCTTCACATTCACCTTCATCTTCACCTTCATCTTCATCACCATCTTCATCTACATCTACATCTACATCTACATCTACATCTTCATCTTCATCTTCACCATCATCTTCATCTTCATCTCCATTGCCATCTTCATCTTCATCTTCATTTCTCCATCTCTCAACATCCTCATGAAACTCGTTGACAATCTCCTGAATCTTCTCCGGCCTATACATATCCCCATCATCCAGCAATCCATTAATGTAAGCTTCCACGAAGAGCTGCAATTAAAAAATTAATTAGGCTAATTTAAAAAACGATTACCAATTCTCCAAAAACCGCATCCAACATGTACAAAGTGTCCTGATCTGTCTCGGCGATAATCGGATTTGCATGTTTTTGTTCCAGCATTGTTTCGAGTTTCTTCAAAAAGATAATTGGGGATAATTAAAGTTAATTATTGTCTCACATAAACCAATTCCAATGGAGCGTTCTGTTCAGTAGCTGCCCTTAGATTTTCCAAACTGTCATCTCCTGGATTCTCTAGACTGCTCAACAACTGGGAAATGAGATTGTCAGCAGCTTCGTGGAGTTCCTAAAGGTTCAACTTTAAGCTAATTTATCTAGGTTCCTGTGAAAGATATCAAAAATCTACAAACTGTGAACATGTTAGTGATAATATGACAAACACTTTTGTAGTTGACAAAACTTTGATATCTTTTAAAAGAACTGAGATATATAGGTTCAAAGCGAGTGTATGCCTATTTTTGGAGTATACTAACTTTAAGCTCATTTATCTCAATTTCTGTAAAAGCTATTAAAAATCTGTGAACTACAAAAATGTTGGTGATATTATAACAAACATTTTTACAGTCTACCATTGCTTTATATCTCTTATAGTTACCTGATAAAACTCTGTGTGCTCTCCCATTATGGATTTGAGACTGTCGAAATGACCATTCATTTGTCCGCAGAGCTGAAATCATTACTAATAACATTCACCAAATTCTGTATGTGCGTATGTATGTAGCGTGCCTTTTCCCCCATTCAAAATTAACCGATTGAGCTTAAACCTGACAGATAGATCAGAAGTGTATCTTAGTTGGTGCCCGAACTTTTCTTTTTTCGAAATTTTGATTCTGAAGTCTTCTAGAGATGTTCCTTGGTTTCACCACAGTAATGCGTGGTGGGCAGAGAGGGCGAGGATGTCCCACACACTTAGGCCAGGAGGTTAAGCCCCGGAGGGGCGTAAACCGACTGGTTCATTAATTAAATAAAATAAAACTTCAAAACTTACCTCCTCAATCCTCCCTTTCAAATCTTGCAACTCATCGATTGGCTCATCATAGTTATAGTCTCTGACCACGAGCCCAAGGTTAACAATATCCTCAACACGTTCCGAAATTGTATCAAAATTGAAACGTCCCTCGTTAAGACATTCATCGAGAATTGCAATTACAGCGTTGGCCGAATCTGAAAATATTTAGTTTGTATGGCCAACAATTCGAAAGAAATCAACTTACCTGACATTTTCTGGTTGTCTTGATAAAAACGATATTCCGGTTGCTTATTTATAGTGCTTGTGTTTTACTGCTTTGTGGTCAGATAAGGATTGGAGCCAAAAGTCGTGGACAATTAAAATTTGATGATAGCAATAAGAATTTGCCAACAAACAAACAAGATGATAAGAAGTGATCATGGGTTTTAAAACACAGTATAAAGGGAGTAAGCCAGAGTTGCAATTCATTCCGACGGCTCCAAAACTTCAAAAATGGATTTCGACAGTGAGTTCTTTTGAATCCAAAGTCATGTTTTACAAAAATCGAGATATTCTCTTATTCAGCTGCCAAAACCCACATATCCAATGTGGTGACATCTATCAAGGATTGTGCAGATGTTGGAATGTACACCTTCAGTAAAATGAATCCTCAATTAGCTGCGTTTGTTGGACTTGGACTCTTCGTGAAGAATCTAATTGTTTCCACCGCAGAAGATGCGAATTCTGCAGTCTTGAAGGATTTGAAGGAAGTGAAGAACCAGATTAGGAAGGTAAGAAGTACCGCCAACTTAGAGTTCGTAATACTCGGTTCCTGTGAGAGACATCAAAAAGTGGTAAGCTAACAAAATGTTGCTAATATTATGATAAACATTTAATTAATTGATTACTTTTTGATACCTTCTACAGGAACCGAGATATATGAGCTCGACGTTGACAGCTAGGGTGCGAGCATTGAAGGCGAATAGAATTACCTGCAAGGCTCTTGTCACTGAGGAGTGGACAAGGAAACTCCCGTTACCTTTTAAAGGTGGGGGGACAGGAGATTTTTCGGAGAATTTTTGGAGTTAAAGTATGCATTCTACCGTAACGGTGTACAACGCTTGATGTCACTCCGTGTACAGCAGTGATGGGAGGAAACGCATTTTTTTTAAATACGAAAAACGGAAACGGAAAAAAAATCTTCAAAAATCGGGCGGCAAACGGAAAACTAAAAAGGAACGGAAGTTTCTATTTTTCGTCTATTTTTCGGGATTTTTTCCCTTCAAACATATACACTTTTTAACGTTTAAAGACCATATTTGCATCACTTTCCATGCTTTTTTTCAATCCAGTTTCAGTTTGTTGTTTTCCTTGTTTTTTACATTTTTTTCCGTTTCCGCTGTAAAAAAAACGGGATCGTAATTTTTTCCGTGGAAACGGAAACGGAAAAAATCTCTAAAAACCGGGTGGAAAACGGAAAACGGAAACGGAAACGAAAATTCCTCCCATCACTGGTGTACAGCTGTCGTCGTCACCCTTATGTATACCATCGGGCACGCGCTCTTTCTTCGCCCGCGGGGCTCAGTTGGTAGCGGCGCCGCACCTTCAATACTCGTCCCTACAAGTTCAACTCTCCGAGAGGCATATTTTAGCGAAATTTCAAGAAACGGTTTTTTTTCAGTTAAACGATGCAATGGGAAGTCATTTCAACGACATGAAAGCGTTCATCGTTGCTCATCACTTTTATACAGTGAGTTCTTGGTTAGAAATCAAAAAAACCTGTAATTCTAGACGATTGCCGTGAAAGCATCAGTTCTAACCAAAGCAATGGGTGACTGCTCTGAAGCAAAAGATCAGAAGAAACATGAAGCAAGTCTCAAGTTTTTCAAAGAGATGTATGACAAACATTCGCCGCTGGAACTGGCAAAGGTGGATTTGTAACACTGTTAAACATGGAATATTATTTTTCAGACCCTGAGGGAGATGATGGACAACGAGGTGACGAATCCCGTCAAAATGGCCATGACTGGCGATAAATTCAAAACCAAGCGCACGTTTGAGTCGTGGACTAAAATTTGTTCGGCCGTATTTACGCAGTTGGTGAGTGAAACAAAAATTAGCAATTTTAGGGTACTGAAAATTCGGGTCAGTTTTCGTCCGAACGTTCTAAAACTTTCAGGAAATGTCGCACAAAAATAGAGCTTCGATTTTGTAGTTTATAACTTTTTTGAAAAAATTTATTCAAATGAGATATCCCGCTTAAAGCCAATTGAGTGCCGAAACTTCCAAGATTTAGAGTTGTGGACACTTTCAAGCGGTTTATCTCATTTGGATGAATTTGCACAAAAAAGTTGCCAACTAAAAAAATGAAGCTCTATCGTTGTTTCGGCTCCAAACTTTGCAGCTCTTGTAGTCCCATCAATCAATATTTTTAGTGGTTGTATGATCAACAAACTTTTTTGTCGGTTTCAGTTTGTTGTCGAAGCGTTCGCAAGTGGACAGTACCATGATCAAGAATCCTACCGACAAGATAAGATATCCGAGGAACATGCTGAATTTGAATCGTTGGCCAAAGAATGGAAAGAACATTATAAAGTTAGTTTTTGCCATCTCTTATATTGTCGGATTAAAAAAAAAGTGACACCTGAAAATCTCGGAGACGGCGCTCGTGTCGATTTACGAGGGGGGGCGGAGCGAAAACGGATACTATAAATAACAAATTTATTTACCGTAAAACCTCTAATAGAACGACACCCGGATCGTCCACTTTGAGCCTATATATCTCATTTTCTGTGAAAGATATCAAAAAGTGGCTAACTAGTAAAACGTTGCTGATATCCTGATAAACATTTTACTAGTTAATCACTTTTTAATATCTTTCAAAAGAAGTGAGATATATAGGCTCAAAGTGGACGATCCGGGTGTCGTTCTATTAGAGGTTTTACGGTATGTGAATTTAGTGGGATTTTGTGAACAAAATTTTGGTTTCTTGGTATGAAAATGATCGCTAGCATCTCTAGAATCCATTTTTCAGCAAAAAACTAAACTCAAACGCGAAAGTAGCTCAAACTAGCCAAAATTCTGAAATATTACGTTTTTGCCGCATTTTTTCGTAGATCAAAAAAAGCAAAAGTTTTCAAATTCTCAGGTGTCACTTTTTTTAATTCGACAATATTATAAAACACATTTTTTCCAGACTAACGAAACTCGATTCTGGGAGCACGAAGTCAGACCATTTGTCGAAGACATTCAAGAGAACAATACTTCGAAAAGCAACGTTGAAAAAGCTGACTTGATTAGAGCTCAGCTGGATAAGATACTGACAAAGTGTGTTTACTTTTCATTCTTTCAAAGGTTACATCTTTCAGCGACATATTCTATGTGGTCGTCATGAGCGCGTCTTTCGACCATAGTACCGTGCTTCGCGAAGGTTTGGAGCATCAACACATCCATTCTGCCAACCGTGGAGGATGCACAGTTATTGTTTATCAAAGCAAGAAGGCCCGATCTTCTGGTGCGCAAGTAAGAGAACTGAGAAAAAAAGCAGGGCACTTTAAAACTGTCAAACATCGCAAACTGGAGAGCAGCTGGATTTCCTGGACTGAAGCGCATGGATGGTTGACGGGAATTGAGCATTGTGGGTATATTGAATTGGTCCGGTCGGATCATGATGTCGCTGTACGGTGCACGTCAGCTGCTTGGTCCCAACACGGTCCAGGAATTTCATTCCAAGCCACTTTCAATAGGACTGATCGACTTAGTTCGGAGCATTTCCATTTGGTGTTCGGCTTTGAATAAGAATTGTTGACTTTTTTTGAATTGAATAAAAATTGGGAATTTCGTCAAGGAACAAGTATTGTGTATTGCAAAAAAAAACATTGAGAGGAACAATTGAGGTTGAAGGTACAATGAAGAGACCAAAAGCTGAGATGAAGAAACAATAGCGTTAAAAAAATACAAAAAAACTGTGTGGTGCTAAAGGGGGTACCTATGTCAAAACTTAGAAAAAAAGAAAACTCTGCCAGATTGTAGAGAAACTTCTAAAATTAAGAGTTACACTCGAAATGCTCATTAACCCTTTCACACACTTGTAAAATTCCGGGCCGGCCCGCCAAAGCCCGGGTCTGAGGAAAATTTCAAGGCCTAAAGACTCGAAATAAATTTTTTGATCGAAAAAAATCACATAAGAGTCCCCCCTTATGTGTTTTTTGAAATTTTCAAAACTTGTGGAATGACAGGCCCGCCGGGCCGGGCCGGGCCGGGCCTCCGAAATTCGGGAAAAAGCCCGGCCCGTTACAAGTATGCCCTTTCAAAAACTCACTCCACAAAATCAGAAATTCGGTTTGCTCTCAGAAACTTTGCTATCAGAAAAGGTTGCTATCAGAAAAAATATATCAGAAATTCGGTTTTGCTTATTCGGTTTGTTATCAGAAATAGGACGTGGAGCTCGAGGTTTACTATAAAACTATTCGAAAATTAAATGTGATAAGAGTTGACCGATGGCCAGTACACGAAATTTCATTATCGCGAGGCTATTTTTTGTGGTATCAATAAACCAAACATATATTGATACGGTTTTGGCAATCCGTTTTTCGTGCATTGTGGATATTTGACTTGACTTTGGTGTGAAGAATCTTCTTAGTGACCTTATCGGTTGGAGGCACGAGTTTATATAACAATTATTTATTTCTCGACCCAATAAACCAAACCTCAAGAAATCATCTGCCAACCGAGATGATCAGAAATGTAATAGTAGTAGTCTTTGATCGCTGTTTAAAGGCATTGAGAAGGGCAAAAAATCTGAAATCTTAAACTCTATCAATTTTCAAACTTTATTTTCAGATTTTACATTTGCAAGCTTGCTTGGGGTCTAATGGAATTTAGCGAGATTGTGAATTACAAAATATACTTTTGAAACTTTTTTTTCCATGTTCAGCCAATTTTCCACATCCAATTTCCGGTCGTAATCATCGGCCAGTAATTAGTCGGCATGGTCAAAAAGTGACCGAATGGTCCCGGTTTACAACTAGTTCTACAACTTGTCTCACTCACAATGGTCAGGTGTCATTCTTTGCGGCAAATTAGCAAAAAAGAAAGAAATCATGAGACAAGACATAGTTCTGGGGAACAGTTGGCACTACTTCTTGTTACAGTTTTAGGAGAGTTTGAGGTAATTAACCTGTCTCCTGAAGATGGCAAGCTGCCGAAACGTCGAGAAATAAATAATTGTTATATAAAATCGTGCCTCCAACCGATAAGGTCACCAAGAAGATTCTTCACACCAAAGTCAAGTTTTAGGAGAATTTTTCTGAGTTTTTTCGAATTTTTCAAATTTCGATTTTATGAGTTTTATTTCAAAATATCAAGTTTTTTAAAGGTGGTGTACGGTGAAATTTTTATTGCATCAAAATGTGCAGAAATGCATGTAGATTGACATAAAAATAAAGAAAAAATTCAAAAAAATTCCTTCATCGAGAAAAACGCATCGAAAAATACGCTAAAAGCCCTTAGGGACGAGGTTTTTTTAGGCCGTCTGGTGAGTAAAAGCGCGCGAATTCAAACTTTTAAAATTTTTTCACTCGTTTTCACTGTTTTTTCAAATTTTCCGATGTATCTGGAAGAAAAATTGACAAAAACCTAGAAAACTCTTGAAAAAACCGAAAAAAAAGTGAAAACGAGCGAAAAAATTTTAAAAATTTGAATTCGCGCGCTTTTACTCACCGGGCGGCATAGAAAAAAACCTCGTCCCTAAGGGCTTTCAGCGTATTTTTCGATGCGTTTTTCTCGATGAAGGAATTTTTTTTGAATTTTTTCTTTATTTTTATGTCAATCTACACAGATTTCTGCACACTTTGATGCAATAAAAAATTTCACCGTACACCACATTTAAATTTTTTGAAATCTTCGATTTTTGTCAAAATTGATACATGACAACTTCAATAATTCAAATTCAAACAACTATTACACGACATTGTAAATATGTGTCTATTACCGTAATCGGTACAAAAAAACGGCAAAGGGGTACAAGAAAGGGGAAAAGGGGTCGTTAATATGATCATAATATATGATTCTTATCTTCTTTATACAGAACACATTTTTTGATGTATCGCAAAGTCTTTGAAAACAAAAAATAAGAGTTTTCAGTTTCAAATATCGGATTTCCAGAAAAACAGAAAATTAATATTTCAGAGTTCCCAACTTTCAAATGCGAATATCTCTGGACTGAATGATCTTATTGAAATGATATTTATATTTTCAAAATCAGCGAATTTTCAGCTTTCAGAAAACATCAAATATGTCATATGATCCTTGAAGATTTTCATTTTCAGAGAAAAAATCGTTTTTCACTTTGCTCTCTTGAAAAAAGCAACATTTGCAGAGTTCACAATTTTCAAATGCTGATATCTCTGGACTCACTGATCTTATCCAAATGATATTTATATTTTAAGAATTAGCAAAATTTCAGCTTTCAGAAAACATAGAATATGTCATGTGTCCCAAACAGGTTTTCAGACAAAATGTGGCTTTTACCGGCTAGTCTTCGAAAAATGGAATGTTTGAAGATCACAACATTTAAATGTGAATATCTCTGGACTTAACTATTGGATTGAAATGAAACTTATATTTTCAAAATCAGCAAAATTTCAGCTTTCAGTTAAAATATAGAGTGCCCTATCCCGTTAAGTCCATCTCATCATTACTACCGTAAATGCTCGACACTAGTTAAATTGCGCTTCGAGCTTAAATATCTAGGTTCCTTCAAAAGATATCAAAGACCTGTCAACTAATAAACTACTTATCATAATATCACCATATATCTTATCAGTTGGCAGATTTTTGATATCTCTCACAGGAGATGAGATATCTGAGCTTAAAAAGCATTCCCCACCGTTCCTTCCCCAAACACCTCCTCCTATTTCCCCCCATTATGTATTTAGGGACCCCCCAGTGGGTCCTTAACTGATCCCTGTCCATACGGTCCGGTTGTGTGTGTGTGCCTTAAAAAAGTGTCTGTCGGTGTAACCACGCAACAATTGCGCCATGAGCTATCAAAAGACAAGTGCCGCCATCAGAGAGACCCCGGGACCATGCCTTTGTCATTAGAACACATTATGACGGAGGTACTTTGTGACTCCGCCCACTTTTTATGATGTGGGAAGAGGAAGTGTTTTGTATGTAGTGTGAGGTAAGCATTTGGTAATCGTTACCGTAATCTGGATTTTTTGAAATTTTTGATTTTTTCAGATATTCTAGAAAATTTTAAAAACTTCTTTTCTTACTGTTTCATCTCGTTTTTGTAAAATATCATTGTTTCAATTCTAATGGTTCGAGTACGTCTATTTTCCGATTGATTAAGTCTATTGGAATAGCGGAGTCTTCAGTTGGTGCCAGATTATCTCAATTCCTGTAAGAGATTTTAGAAAATAATTAACTAATTAAATGTTAAGCAGTTTATTTAACACACTTTGTTAGTTGATTACTTTTTGATATCTTTTACAGGAGTTGAGATAATTAGCGTCAACGTTAGTCGAACGGTTCACTAGCTATGGCTCCTTTTAACTTCAATTATCTCTATTACTGTATTAGATATCGAAAAGTTGTTTAAAATTTTTGTGATAATTTGATAAATAATGTATCAGTTAATCACTTTTTGATATCTTTTACAGAAAAGGAGATAATTGGAGTTAAAGTTACAAAGCCACATAAAAGCTTAAAATTAATCCTCCTGCTCCAAAATTACCTTTTTTCTCCTAAAAGAAAGTTTCAGAACCCCCAAAAAATGTCGGATGAACTTCAACAACAATTGGCAAATAGCAGTTTGTACGATGCGGAATCCCTGAAGGCGTTCAACCAGATGTACACCTCCGCAAACAATCCGTATGCTGTTGGAGGGGCAGGAGTTGTTCATGGCTTTGATAAGGTATACCATTTGAAAGCTGAAATTTTGCTAATTCTAAAATTATAAGTTTCGTTTCAATAGGATCAATGAGTCCAGAGATATTTAAGTTTGAAAGTTGTGAGCTCAGAAAATTCCATTTTCCAAGGGCAAGCAGTGGAAAACTAGTTTTTTTTTTGCTGAAAATAAAGGTGAGACATATGACACAATTAATATTTTCTAAAAGCTAAAAACTTGCTGATTTCAAAAATACAATTGTCATTTTAGTAGGATTAGTGAGTCTAGAGATATTCCCATTTGAAAATCATGAAGCCTGAAAATCACATCCGGAACTTTCGGAAACCTTTAGGACCTCGATGATCTTCTAAAATCTTTACAGAATTTCCAGAACTTTCAAGAATTTTCTAAATCTTTTTAGAACCTTTTAGAACCTTTCAAAACCTTTCAGAACTATCCAGCCGCGTTTCCAACGTTCTTCGCTCAACACTTTGCCCCCTACGCCAACCCAAGCTCATTTTCTCCATCATCCACCTCTTCAACATCGTCTACGTCATCTCAACAAACGTCTACAAAAAAGAAGCCAGTTCCAGTGCCCAATAATTTGAAGGATGAGGTAAGATTCTCTTAAAGTGATAGCACTAAAAGTGTGAACTTTTTCAAATTTCGGGATCTTTCAACTTTGAGCCTATATATCTCATTTCCAATGAAAGATATCAAAAAGTGGTCAACTGATAAAATGTTTATCATAATATCAGTGACATTTTATTAGTTGACAACTTTCCGATATCTTCCACAGGAACCGAAATAAATTGGGTCAAAGTTAAAAATAAATTTCCAGAGCTACTACGAACGTCGCGCTCGGAACAACAAGGCCGCTCAAAAATCACGAGAGGCTCGAAAGAAAATAGACGCTGAAAATAGTCATCGAGTCAATCAATTGGAAATGGTGAGCACTTTTGGGTGGTTGGCGGGAATTTGAAATTTCAAAAATATTCAAACTTATTTGGGTTTGCTTTAACTTGAAGCTGTCTTGGACCATGTTAAACCAGTTTTGGACTTTTTAAAGGCTTTTTCAGGACTATCTTGAGCTCTATTTGGTCCATAATAGTTTCTATTTTGATCAATTTTTGAAGATACTTTTAGAGACTATTTTGGACCCAACAACTTTGAGCTCAATTATCTAGGCTCCTGTAAAAGATATCAAAAAGGTGTCAACGTGTAACATGTTTAGCATTTTATGCTTAACATTTTATCAGTTGATCACTTTTTGATATCTTACACATGAAACGTGATATATGGTTTTAAAGCAGGTTTGTACCCATTTTTGGGTATGCTAACTTTGAGCTCTGTTATCTCGATTCTCAAAAGAGATATTAAAATTTTGTCAACAGATGAAATGTGAAAAATTTTATGCTTAACATTTTATCAGTTGACCACTTCTTGCTATCTCTAATAGGCGTTGAGATAATTGAGCTCAAATCTCAACGATAGTTATATCAAGTTTCTTTTTGGCGCGTTTATATTCAAATTTCCATCAGACAAACACCTCGTTACCCCGTTTTCTCCTAATCTCCTTTTCCTATATCTGTCCCACTATTGCGCCATTTTTTTGCAAACGAACCGCCCCTTGAAACAGTACCGCCCGTCTGCTTAATTGATGACGTCATCACTCAGACAGGTGTCACCAACGCAACAAGTTGCGTTGAGCCTATTTTGGTATGTACCGCCTGTTAATGGGAAAATCGTGGGACGAAAATACGAGGGAAAATTTGCTAAAAATCTGGCGGGAAATTTGAATTTTAAAATATTTTTTCAGGAAAATAACCATCTCAAAGCCTACATTTACAAATTATACCAAGAAAACATGATGATGAAGAATCAACTGGTCCAGCACTATCCGGGCGTCGTGGACCCGGCCGCCGCTAGTATGCCTGGATTTTAGTGCGATGGAGCGCACTTTGGGAGCTTTCTTATTTAATTTTAATCTTTTTTTTTGATTTTTTTAAAAATTAAAACAAACTTTTTTGTAAAGATTTTCAAAAATTCGTCTGTTCTTGTCTACGCACTCTTTCTCAATTTTTCCTGTCTCAAATTTCATCTCCACCCCCACACACTGAAATCATCTGTCTCATCTCGCATCACATTTCTCTCTGGGAATTTTGATTTTTTCGAATAAATTTCTCATTTTTTAACTCTAATTTGAATTTCGCTCGCTTTGAATTAGCCATGGATTACTGTAGAACTCGATTTCTGCAATGTGTTCACTGCTACGACAAATTGCGGACCCGGGAAATTTTCAACGAATTTTTGTTTCATTTCGCATCTCATTTCACTGTAATTTCGTTCATTTTTTTCGTTTTTTTCCGCGTTTTTGAGGCTTTTCGGCATTTAAAATATCGATTTTTATCATAGAAATATCGAAAATCATAAGATTTCGAGCTGAAAATCGCTAAAAAAGGTCATTTGTCGAAATAGGATTTTTAACTATTTTTAGGCCTTTTTTGTTAAAATTTTTGTTCTTTATAGGCTTTGAATCTCGAATTTTCTGTTTTTTCCTGGAAAAAAAAAATGCTAAAAACCAAGATTTTCCTCCTTTTTTGAATTTTTCAAGATTTTTCTAAATTTTCAGGATTTTCGAAAAGTTTTTAGGTCCAAAATTTTAGTTATTTCTCGGTTTTGGGATAAAAAATGGCAGATTTTAAGCTGAAAACATCAGATTTTATGCTAAAAAATCTGAAATTTAGGTCTGAACTCGGATTTATAAATTTTCATTATTTTAGTGTTTTTCAGCCATTTCTACTGATCTGCTCCAGTTTTTCTTTAAATTTTATGCTAAAAATAGCAGTTTTTAGACCAAAAAATCTGACATTCAGGTCAGAACTCGAATTTTGGGATTCTCATGAGAATTCTCAGTATTCCAGAATCTTTTCCAGCCATTTCTACCTAATTTTCAGCGTTCTAATCATCATTTTCGGACTCGGAGAGCGTTTTTGCAGCTGTCAAAAACGTGTTTTTTTCTGACGAATTTCAGAATTTTGGTGAAATCTGAAAAATAGAGTTTTTGTGTCAAATTTTGAATTTTCGCGGGCTTTCTGAGCGATTTTTGAGCATTTTTTTCTAGATTTTTCTATCCCCTTGTCGTAAAAATCTCCCATATGAACATTTCAAAACTCTCTCTCCTCAAACTCTCATAAAATCCATTTTTCCTAACAGACGAGAGATAAATGTGTTTCCAATATTTCAACATTAAACAAAAAACAACAACGCTGGAGACGAAAATCTTGCTCATAAAACAAGTTCGACTGCTGCACATTTTCTTGTTCCTAGAGAGAGCGAGAGAGTATGGCTAGAGGAGAGAGTGCAGAGAAGCAGAGCGCAGCGACACGCGACGCGCGGCTCTCAATGTCCAAAATTTCACAGTTTTCTTTGTGTTTGTACTTCTTATCAGCCCTATCAGTTTTCATTCCCCTCCATCAAATCAGCAAAATTTTAAAAGTTCTGGAAATTTCCTTTTTTTCCTTTTACATCATTTTCTTCCACATCCCATAATTAGATTATGCTCTGGAGCGAAGAGGGATGATGTCACATTTCGAATGGCTCCCCAGGAGACAAAAAACGTGGAAGGAGGCTCGGTTACGTCATCTGATGTGTCCGAATTTCGGAGCATTTAGATGGGTCTGGAAGTGGGATTTTCAGCATTTTCAAGCCCGAAAATTGCTTTTTTGATTCTATGGAAAAAGTTGAGATTGAGCTTTTTTTCGGGCAATTTAGCTGTAATTTGAAGATTTTCAAGCAAGAATTTCCCGGGTTTTTTTCTGCAGCAATTTTCATTGAAATTGACGAAAATCAGCAGTAGGCATCGGGTTTCAGATGTCTTTCACTGAAAATCGGATTTTCAGCGTTACAAGATTCTGAAAATCGAAAAAATGACCCTGTTTTCGAGCAAAAATAATCTCGAAAATTATTCTGAAATTCTCGTTTTCAGCACTTTCGAGTCCAAAAATTGCAATTTCGATTCTCTGGAAATGTTGAGATTTAGCCTTTTTGGTTATATCCCTCTATTTTGGACATCAAAGTTCAAATTTCGGAGTTTTTCGAACCTATCGAGCTAGAATTTCCCGTGCCACGTGTCAAGATTCCATGCTTCTTGTTTGCGAATTTTCTGGAACTTTGACCCAGTTTGAGAAAATTTTTCGACAGTAAAACTCTCGAAAATTGGTCGGAAATCCTTGTCAGGAATTTCCATTTTTCGCTGCTCGAATGTTGCGCATTTTGAGCGTTTTTCGACAGAGAGAATGACCGAATTTGGCTGAAAATAGGCGAAATTCCAATCAGATGACATCTTCTGGTCCCCCATGATTTATTGTGTTGTTGGGAAGAAAGCGAGGCATATTTATGCTTTCAAAATAAAATATATGGGTGAGACACATGACGTTCTCTCTCTCTCCTATAAAGGAAAACCAAGAGAAAGATGGAAATTTGACCCCAGTGCCAATTTCCCCTTCTTCGTCTTCTGAATCTTCTCGATTCGATCTGAGCAATTTTTCTGTCCCCTCCAAGTGACGAAAAAAAACGAAGTAGTGTTATCTGAGAACCGCATCGTTTTCTTCCCCCCTTCCCGTCGTGTTTTATGTGTTTCGTCGTTTCTTTTTTGTGAGAAAAGACGAAATTACAAAAAAAAACGAAGATGTGCTCCGGAAGATTCGCCCGCCGCCGGAAGAGGAGAGCCCTTTTTTGTTGGAATTCCAAAAGATCCCACTGACTCAGTTTTTTTTTACTTGGAAGATTCCAAAGATGTAAAGGATGGATAAGACGAAAAAGGGCACTTTTTAGGATTCTGAAGAATTTCGATCGCTGAAATTGGGATTTGAGCATAAAAATGCCACGTGGATGTCAGTCTCTGACATGTGAGCTACAGTACCGATCAATGAGACATGCAGAAACATACTTCTCTATTGATTTATGGACATTCCGATACTGTAAATCCCATTTTGGCTCTGAACTTGAACTGCCACGTTGCACTGGAAGTAGCTGACTCCAGAAGCTCGATAGGCTTCTGAAGCTAAAATTGGCTCTATTCTGGTGTCCGAAGCGCATTCCAGGCTCTTCACTACCCACTTTCCTGATCCTTAGAATTTCGAGATTTCCTGATCTTTCACTAGATGTCTCTAGCTAAAACTCGCTTTATCCGTCAATATCAAACCAATTCTGAAGAGAGAAACTTGGCACGGGTCCAAGTGTGATGAGTAATCTTTCAAAATGACCCCCCGGCCGTTCTCTTTCTGTCTCTTTCTGCGATTTTCCACCACTTCGTAATGCAACACTAGGGCCGTTGGCGACGGCGACGGAAAGTAAGAGATGGATGGGGATGGATAGGGGAAGCCGAGAGAAGGAGAGAGAGATATGACAACAAACACAATTTATTATGCGGAAATTCGCCCCTATTTCTCTTTCTCTCTCTCTCTCTCGTTCTTCCGTTTCTCTATAGAGAGAACGGATAAATAGGTGCGATATCATCATCATTCTATTCCGAGTGACCACCAGAAGATTTTATTTTAGCACAGCAATTTTGGCTTAGCTCAAGTTTCTGCCCTTGGAATATATATATTGGTTCTCATCCCGATCTAATATCACATGTCACATGCACAGAAGGCAATATCAATCTCCACGAGAGCACAAAGACCCCCTCTCGTTTCGTAATCTCTTTACGAATGCCAGATTGATTTGTTTAAACGTTGGGGATTTGATTAAAAAGCTAGGCTTAAAAACCCATTACTTTTTATTAGAATTGTCGGATATAGCCGGCTTAATTGCAGCAAAAATTGTGTGGGTAGGCTCTTGATTGATTTCTAGGCGTGTTCTGAGCTATTCCTGAACTTTTCGAGCTAATCTCGCGATTCAGAAGTTCTAGAAGCTTTTAGAGATAGCGAGGAAACCTTCTAGCTAGTTTGAAGATGCCAGATCCATCTGGAATCAGGTCGCAAGCTGGATCTTTCTGGAGCCTGTTTTGAAGCTATTCTAGATGTTCTAGAAATTTCTGAAGCATTTCAGCTGGTTTGGAGGGGTCAGATCCTTCTGGAAACAGCTTCCAAGCTATTCTATTCTTCTGGGACCAAGTTTGGAGCTATTCTGGAGTTCCAGATCCTTCTGGAACTGAGTTTGGAACCATTCAATAGTTCTGGATCCTTCTGGAACCGGTTTTGGAGCTATTCCAGAGTTGTACTAATGTTCTGAATCATTTTGGAGTCGGTTTCGGAGCTTTTCTGAGTTTCTAGAATCTTCTGGAGCCATTTTGGAGCTAGGTATTCTGAGGTTTCAGAAGCTACTTTGAGGTTCTATGGCTACTGAACTCCTCGTTCGCTGGTTTTGAAGCTCCAGAGCTCCGGATGTCCTAGCTGGAGCTTTTCCATGTTGGCCTGAGGTTTCAGAGCCTTCTGGAGCCATTTTGAGGTTAAAAGGCATGATTTTCCGCTTCTGAATTTCTAGATGTTTCTGAAATCTACAGATTTTGCTAGAATTCCCGCTCCCACGGTTTCGTAGTCCTGAACTCCAGCTCCTTTTCGATTAGCTTTCCTTACCTATTGCAAAGTTGCAATTTAGCATCTTTTCCCATCAAGTTGTAGTTCTTTTTGTTCTCCTTTTTTCTTTCTTTCTTCCTTCCCCAATCCGTCCTTTATATGACAATTCGTCGTCCACAAACACACACACACACACACACAAAATGACGACGACAACGACGACTACAAAACGAAAAAGCGAACAAAACTAATCGCCTTCTCTCCGCTCTCTCCCTCTACTCCTACTACTTCACCCCCATTCCCTGTCGCTCGCTTTTTGTGTGTCGGTTTTACGGACAGCCGAAAAATGGACAACGTTTTTGTGTCCTTGACAACGGGCGGGCGCCGCTACCGCCTGTTTCATCGCTTTCCCATGTTGTTGTTT